GCCTGCGCATGGACCTTCGCGACGCGGACGCGGGCGCGGACGCGGGCGCAGACGCGGGCGCAGACGCGGGCGCAGACGCGGGCGCAGACGCAGCGGCGCACGACGCAGCGGCGCACGACGCGCGGGAGGAGCGCCCGGACCTGTTCGTGGACGAGGGGCGGCGCGCGTTCTGGGACGACGTGGACGTGTCCAAGGCGTTCGGCGCGATCACGGAGGAGGAGAAGGCCGTGCTGCGGGAGAAGCTGCCGGAGCGCGTGGCGCTGTTCCTGATCCGGCGCGCGGAGGACGCGGTGAACACGCGTGAGGGGATTCGCGCGGAGGGCTCTTTCCTGGGAACGTTTCTCAAGGACCTGCCGTCGGACGTGACCGACTGGGAGGATGAGGAGCAGGAAGAGTATAAGGCTTATGTGTACGAGACGATGACCGGGCCGCCGTCGTACCGCAGGAGGGGCAGCTCACTGTTTGGAGGCGGCGATGGCCTCCCGGATGTGGAGGACGTTTCGAACGCGTATGAGCATGGCATTGAGGATGAAGGGAAGGGCGAGGGGGGCGTACGGTCGAAAATGAACTTATTTGTGGGAAACCCGCATAGTATCGATGAGCGCGCATCCCAGGTCGGGTATACGCTGCTGGTCTTGTTGGGTGGCCTCATTATTTTCAAGGTCCTGCTCGCGTTTATTTCCTTCTTCGTGTCGTTTACTTTCTCGTTTGTTGCTATCTTCGCCCTCAGTGCCGGCATATTCGTCGTCTTTTTCTTGCTCAGGTTTTGACTAGTCGGGAGGACCTGTCGTGCGAGTGCGCTTCATGCAGCCTTCATGCAGCTAGGACTGCCTTTTGTATCGACATGCTGATGTACAGGAGTCCACACCTGCACGACTACAACTGTTTCTGCTTCTTTGTACTAGCTCTCCTGGGAAAGTCCGTGTGGTGCGTGTACAGGTGTCTTTGGCGGTGCAGCCTTGTAAAACATTATTAGTTTGTGTACACGCCCGCACCCGCTTCCGTCCCTCACTGCAGGTTTAGGGACGCGTTTGCATCAACGTTTTCGAGTGCCACCCGCCATTGCACTGCTTTATGATCGCACTGCCGCAGAATTTCATCGCTATGATCGCCCGCATGTCTCGGAGTCATAAATCAGGATAACGACAAACACAACTTCACATCAGTCAAAGCGGACAACCTACAGTACAGTACAGTACACGCTACCTTTTTATTCCACTCCAAGCTTGTTGAGCGACGAGAGCATACTGGGGACGGTATCCGGAGCCCAAAAGCCCTCGCTCTGCCTGCCCTCCATAAATATCGCGCGAATACAATACTGCCCGGACACGGGCTGTCCGATGGCCTGCACCCACACGAGCTTAGACTCCAGCTCGACGGAGCAGTCCAGCCCCGCCCTAGCAATCCGCATATTAAACATACCATCCCCACTGCGCCTCACAGCCGGCTTCTTCATGGGTGGATCCTCCTCGCCGCGGCCGATGCGGTCCATCTTTTTCTGCAGAGACAAGCACAGGCGCTTGAAGTGGCGAATCTCATCGTAATTCAGCGCCAGCAACCACTGATCGTTGCCCACCATTCCGCAGAAGCCCTTGGGCGCCTCCGGGTCATACCCGACGCGGAAGCCGGGGCCGGCGTGAATGAAGCGCTGGCGCACGCCGGGGCCGGGCGGGGCGTCGCCCTTGACCTCGATGATGGAGCAGCCGTTCATGTCGCACTCGATACGAAACTCGACGTTGCCAGACGCGTTCTCGGGCAGCTCATCCGTGGCGGACAGGACCTGCCAGCCGGCGGTGGACTCGTAGCCAAAGTTGCTGGGGTCCATGTACGGCTCGTCCGCGGCGGCGGCCGCGTCGTCGTCCGCGTTCGGGATGGGCGGGAGCGGGGCCTCCGGGGCCGCGGCGCTGTCCGACGGCGGCTCGGCCACGGGCGGCATGCCCGCGTCCGCGCGCAGCTTGGCGACGATCTTCGCCAGCTGGTCGCTCATGTCGTTGAGCTTCTGGTTGGTCACCTTGGCCTGCTCCTTGCGGCTGCGCGACAGCTCCTCGAGCTCGGTGCGCAGCGTGTCGCCGGAGGAGACGGCCGGGCCGAAGTCCGGCGGGTCGGCGGAGGCGCGCGGCGGCGCGGCGCGCGCCGCCCGGCTGCGGAGGGGCGGGCGCGTCGGCGCGGTGGAGAGCAGGAGGCGCGAGGTGAAGGCCGTCGCCGTTGGCGGGAGGGGGGTG